TTTTTGGAATCTTCACCCATACATTACCTATGGACAGGAAATCTTAATGTATTGAAAAGTTATATTTTTTTTTACTTTCATTATCCAAATGTTTTTTTTTCTGCCTTATGAGATTCCTTGGAAAAATCTTGATAACGTTTTATGAAAATTGTATTGCATCATTTTTATTTTTATTTTGTATAAATTTAAGTCCAATTAAGCTCTTATGTTTAGTATCTTTATTTTGAACCCTATTGGTAGGAGCAAGTTTTATAACTCCATGGTATTGGTATACTGATTGGGCTTTAGCTCATTCTTTTAAATAATTTTTTTTTCAGATTCATAGACTTTTGTGTGGCTCGCCTCAACTTGGAAGACTAGAATTTTTTTTGAAGGATCACAGGTGGGCATCTTGTGGTTGAGATTTTGCTTAGGGTCATTCTAGGATGTAAGCTTACCCTTTTTTTTATGAAGGAGGTTGATTGTAAAAATTGCTTATGAAGTTGGATGTATTGATGGATTCGTGATTAGTATGTATTATATTTTTTTTTGGAGGAAATGCTTGGGAACTATCTTGTAGCATGATAATATTTTTTTGTCTTTGAATAGATTATCTCATATATGTTAGGCAATTGAAAGGTCTTATGCACTTTTGGTGATGTGGTGATGTGATGTAAGAATTATACAGGAATTTGTGGTGTAAAGGTGCTATAGCGTTTGAGGTGCACCCTCTTGGCAGGGTTTTGCCTTGCCAAGATTGGGTCGTTACATTCGCTCAAACGTTGAAGCCAAAATCTGGAATTTCTAGATTTGTCTCCCAAGCTCAAACCAAGCATTCAACACATCAAAACTCAACCTCTTGGGCCCATTTTCTAGAAAAACACTTTAAATCCATAATATAACATGTTTTGAAGATCAATTTGTAAAATCAAAGCCTAAATGTGAGTCAATTAAACACAATTTCAAATAAGCTTCAAGAACATAAAGTGTATGTAACATGCATGTGTTCAATCGAAATCAAAGCTGCCAATACGTAATCAAATGAGTCAAAACTTCCAAAAACATGATGAATTCATGAACTATAATCAAGATATGAACATACATGTAGTAATTTCTATGAAAACAACCTCAAAATGCTAGAACATGTACATGCATGCATGATTTAAGCTTCAATTCAACATTTTGAACTAATTCTAGACTCTAATGACCAAAATTCCATGAAACATGCAAGATACAACTTAAATACAAGTTCAAGAAGGTGATTCTCCTACCTTATGTCTTGAATTCAAGGTATACAAGCTCAATTTGCCAATTCACTTTCAATTCTCCCAAGTTCAAGCAAGAATTCCTAGTTGAAACCAATTTCTCTCACTCTTCCTCTCACACGGTTTAGGCTCAAGAAAATGGCTGAAGAAATGTTGTGTCTAAGTGTGTAGTTCAAGCCTCAAGATGTTAATAAAAGTGGCCCACTAGATGGCATTTTGGTAATAAACTCATTTAATGTAATTCAACATTATTTAATCAAATTTGATCATTCCAAATCAAATTTCAATTAAACATACCATAAAATCACATAAATTCTAATTAACATGAAACACTAATAAATTTCAGATTCGGTCGCCAATAAGGCCTTCAATTCACAGTTCGACACTTAAAACATGAACAGATCAATTAACAGTCAAACAGATAGAAATGCGTTTAAACTAACACACTCAATCAAACAGTTCAGGTTATCAGTCAAATCAGTTACTTAATCATATTCAGTCACAGTTTAGCAGTAATCAGTGATATTATCAGTAAACAGTGGTGAGGGTTGTCACACTTCACCATCAAGCTACCACCTCTCGATGGTTATTTCCAAACTATCTAATCCAAAAAAAAATCAAAAAGAATATTTCAAACTTTCATAATATAATCCAAATTAGCTTTAATACGAGCATTACTATTTAAAACTAAAAATTAATTCAATTTTCAAGTTCAATGATGTGACATGAACTCATATATTTAACACATATCTTTAACACATGTGACATGAACTAATATAATCCACCACCTATCTATGTAACACTCGCTCTCATATCTTTTCTATTTATCAACTAATCATATCATTTATATATCATTGAATTTAGAAAATAGATTCACATTATGAACTTGTATATAATTTTCTTTAATGAAATATGTAAAGGCACAAGTTTTTAATATAACCATCAATAATAGAAGAAATGTGAAAATTATATGAATTGTGAAAAAACTTAAACATGAACACATAACCGCTGGGATAAGTTTAGGGCTCGAGGAAGCCAATGAAAAAAATAAGGAACAATTTTTTTGAACCTTAATTCGGTTTTTGAGCTTCAATCTGCAAATGATCTATAAATAAGGTTCTTAATTATTGGAATTGAAACCTGACCATCTTCCCAAAAAGGGAAATCCCATGTCACTTATTACAAATAATATAGTTATATCATAAAATTTTATAATATCAATTATAGAATACGTAATATCGCTATAAATTAGCGTAACAAAATATTCAAAAATTTTTTGATTCATATAATAAAACTTTATGATTTAGTGACGATATGTTTTATTACGTCAATTTATAATAAGTTATGTATTTTATAATTAATATTATAAAATTTTATAACAAAATTATATCAATTTATAATAAGGTGCCTATCATATACATTCTGATACATTTTTTCTCTAAAAAAAACAAATCAAACCACGTGATTTGGACCAATACAAAACAGTTTATTGGTTGTACCAATTTTTTTTTTTTTGTTTTTTGAGCAATACAGTCCGCAAGTGGCTTCGTTGTATGGACCATATCAGGGCTTAACTTTCTGATGTCAAAAAAACAAAAGGGTAAATTAAATTGACGGCCCAATATTTTATTGTTTATATTATTTTAGTCATTATATTTTTAATTAGTTTAATTTTAAATTTTATTTAAATTTAATTCAATTAATAATATCTAAATTGGTTAAGATTGACTAACTAAATAAGTAAGTTTATAATTTTGTTCTAAAAAATATGACACGCGCACTTATGTGTATATCTTTCATAAAAAATGCTAAAAGTTATAATCCATGGTTAAAATTGAGACAATTGAAAATACAAAAACTAAAATGATACAAGAAATAAAATATATGGACTGCTGTCATAGTTTGCTCAAAACAAAAAGGACAAGCAATTAAATAATACTTATTTCTTGTTATAAAAACAAAAAATTAAATAAGACCTATTTTGAACAGTTGGCCTCCTGATGAGAATATTTGCAGCAAAGGGTACCAAAGCTATAAGGGTGATTCTATTTGTACTCAAATTATAATTTAGTATGTTCAAATAAAATTTTAAAATTTTAATTCTAATTATATTTTAATGTATATAAATATTTTAATTCTAATTCTAATGAGGACAATACACATTAAATCCTAAAATATATATATATATATATATATATATTTCTCATAGTACACCCAAATAACTTACACCCAAAAAAATTATACAAGTTTTAATTATTTTATCTTTTTTTCACTCCAAAACCCTAACCTACTCCATCAAAATTTACTATTATTATCAATATTATTATTTTTTATTGTGTTATTACTTATAAAGAAAACAAAAATACAATATGTGCCGCTGTATTTTCATTGAAAGCCCCTTAATTTTTCATAAAGCCAATCTTGTAAATATCTTTATGCCTCTGGTTTTCTTTCTTTTTTCTCTCTCTTACCTTTTTTTTCTTTTCTATGCACCCTTGCTTAATATGTTCAAATATGACGGTCATGTACATGATTGATTTTATATACATCGGTCATTAATGGGGTTATTTTTGAAAAAAACTATCAAAACAACAATGATTTAAATAGTTTATATATCATATCTATGAATGTGTATATATATTTATTTCATATTATTAATATATATTAATATTATCATATTAGAAGAGAACGAGGAGGTAGAGATAAAAAGAGACATGTGTTTTGTGATTTTTCTTCGCCAGTGCCGTCATTGTTTGTATATGAACAAAAGGAATATGTAATGAGAAATTTGTTTAAGAATTTTTTAAAAGGTTTTTTAAAGTGGTGTAACACGGGTTTTTGATTTGTTGATTATTTCAATGTACCTTGAAAAGTAATTTAAGAAAAAAAATATAATGTGTATTTAAAATAAATTATAACTCTAAATAATTTAATAAAATGTATTAAAAAATTAGAGGCATTTGATGATTTTTTAAGTGCAAACAAAATCCCCCAAACTATAAATAGGTACCGAACATTATTGGGCCTGCTATGGCCTAACCTCAACATTAAATTTGCCCAATTCATTGGTGCAGCCAATAATCCTTCATGTACATTTCAAAATAAATTAAAAAACCTACGTCGAGTGTGGAATATGTGTCTGCTGTTCATCATATATTTTTTATATATTGTATTTAATATTTTATATTGTTGTATAATTATTATAAAATAAGTAAAAATGCCTTTTGAATTTTTATATTACATTACATGAAATTTATAAAGTACGGACACTTCTAAAATTGTGACATATTCGTGTCATGTCTGTGTACAGACACTAACATTTTTTAGACACTTCCTAACACATGTTAGACACTCGGGGAGGCACACATGAAACTAACTATTAAGTTTGAACAAAAAAAATCTTAGGTACAAAGGTTTTAAAAAAATGTGAATTTACAAAAGGTAATATTATGTCGCATTTTTTTATTATTTTTGAATGATATATTCATATATATAACATAATAAATATATAAAATTATATATTTTGTACGAGTCGTTCACATGTCATGCTTTGCATTTTTTTAAAATATTTGTATTGACGTGTCCATTTCATGTCCTTGTCCTTACTTCTTGGCATCTAACAATATATATATATATATATTGATAAATCTTAGCATCTAACAATATTTTATCACATAATATATTAAAAAACAAAAAAAAAAATATGAGCCTTTTTGCCAAATTTTCTTACCTTTAAATTTGAAATTTAATGAATTTGATGTTCAAATATGCAACTCGCATCTGTCACTAGTTCCAAAATCCATGTAATCATAGGGCGAAGTCAATAAGGGTTATTTTGAAAAGATGGTTAAAAATTAATTTTTTAATTTTTTAATTTTTTTAAACTTATTTTAAAAAAAGTGTAAAAAATATAAAAAATAATGTGACTCAAAATAAATTAAAAACTAAAAAATGATTCTTAACCATATTCTTAAAATAGTCCAAAATAAACTTAGCTTGAAAATAAATGTGGATCAGAATTAAGACCATCAAACTTCACCTTCTTTTCCCCCCCCCCCCCCCAAAAAAAAAAATTACAAAACAAAACAAAACAAAATATGTAAGGACATAATAATGCATATCAAATCTGACCAGATTGAGTGGCCCCAACATTCAGACAACTAGTTGTCCAACTAGTTTTGGTAGGGGTGTTCAATAATTAAAAAAAAAACAAAAACAGGTCAGTAAATCGATTTAATTCAATTTAAATTATTAGTTTAATCTAATTTTAACTCTGGTTTTGATTCTGGTTTTAAAAATGGTAAAATTGTTCAAATCAATTCGGTTCTAAGGCTTTGGTCATGATTCCGAACCGGATTAGACCATGACATATTTATTTATTGTTATACTAGCCATCAGTGCGAAATTGATAAACTCTTACCAATTTAACTAAATTAATTATTATTAATTTGTTTACTAACGTAAAATACATATTACATTTATCGTTATATAAAATTTCACAAACCGTAAATCAAACCGAACC